ACACACACACACAACAGCAGAAACAACAACAATAACAACAACAACACAACGTGGACAAAGTATACACATCACTGAACCAACAACAACAGCAACAACAACAGCAACAACAACATTAACAACAACAACAACTACAACAACAACAACAGCAACAACATTTCGAACGGATAGGCTACCACACACACACACACAGCAACAACAACAGCAACAACAACAACACAACGTGAACAAAGTATACACATCACTGAACCAAAAATGAAACCAAGAAAAAACCCAACCCAAAACAAACTATTTTATACCTTGAAACTCTTGTCTTTGTTTCTCAATAAAGTTTCCTGAGGTGAGACTTTCCTTTTCCCTGATCACCACAGTGAAGGTAGTTTCCCCGTTCCGATAACCTGGGACCCAGCTAACATTCAGGTCCAGCCTTCCCTGAGGGGTCAAGGGTAGACTCTCCAGCTCAACTTTTGTCACAGGGCTTGCAGCTATGACGAGAAAGACAAACGTTTGGTACAAAGCTAACAGTATATCAGTAATAATTTTTTGAAGAGACTTGAATTAGCATTGTTTGACTCAAAAGATGTTAAAGACATTTCTTACATTGGCATTTAAAGTAATCTACGGGTAAAAAACGGAATGACTTCCGTAACGAGCTACCCCTTCAACAAACACAATAAAAAGAAGGAATCTAGACCTACCCCTACCCTAACCCAACCCCTACCCCTACCCCTACCCAAATCCCTACCACAAACCCTAACCCTAGCCTTAACCCTAACCCTATCCCTCTTTCTATTGCATGGTGGTTGCTCGTTACAAAATTCCTCCCTAAAAAACACCCACCAAGAAGAGGTATTAAATAAACAAGCATAAAATTACTTTCCTTCTATCCCAATAGAAGAATAGAGAGGTGAAAGAGAACCCCCCCCCCCCCCAACAAAACAGTACCATGCAGAATGAAAAAATGAAGTAAAACTTTGGTCTTTGAATGGTACCCTTTCAAATGGTAATGATATGTTAGTTCTATCTAGCGTATGGTGTGACATATAAGAAACAAAGCAGATGGGAGACAGAGAGTAGAGACTTAGAGAAGGATAGTAACATTTATTTAAATGTGTCCACAATATTTGTTTGTTTTAGTAAGTTTTTTCGGCGCTCGCAACTGCATAAGATCACAGCATTTGTGAAGCTGTATTGTAAACTGCTGACATCTCTTAGAACAAAAATGTTTTATAAGAATGATTTCATGAGTGCCAACCAGACACAGTCAGAATGGGGGTACAGAAATTTGTGTCAGATTTTATCGGTGGTATCTATGACGATATTATGGAATAAGCCTACAAGACGTGAATAAGTGAATTAATTCTGTTCCCATGTACCAAAGGTCTAATCACTGATTATTTGGTCGGGAGGGGGGGGGGGCAACGAGTACCGTGTGTTATCATGGACAGAAAACCCAACAAGGACACTACTATAAACAACAAAATCCTGAAGATAAATCTTGTTGTTCCTTTCAAGGAAATTAAGAAGTTTTCATGTAGATAATAAGATTAGATCTATGTCTCTTTTTTACCATAATCCAAAGCGTGTTACTGTTTTGTATTTGCTGCTGGGCTGAAAACATCATGACAGAGGAGAAAACAAGTGACTAGAGATGACAACAAGAAAACTATCAACACACAGACTATTCTTTTCTTGGACAGCACCACGTATACAGCCTGTTATGGCGTTCAAATCTTTTCTAATTGAAAAAAGAATAAACGGACAAAAACAGTTCTATAAAAGTAACTTCTTTTTTAAGACAATGAATAAATTTGGCAAATTAAAAAATTAAAACTCACCGTCACTCACACAGATAAGAACACAAGAATCACATCATCATGTACCCATGTCTTTCCAAAAGTAATCTTACCAGCCGCACATAGAAAAGTACACAAGAATAGCCATGTACACATGTCTTACCAGCCTCACACAGAGAGGAACGCAAGAACCACACCATTATGTACGCATGTCTTACCAGCCACACTTGTCTTGAAGGATACCTCACTGTCGGCCCCACCACCGACCTCTCTACTATAAGCACGGACATGTACAATGTAGTCTGTGCACGGGAGCAAGTCTGTCACTGTCACCTCAAAGACCATTTGGGAATCACCAAGATCTGTACTGTCATATTGACTCACAGGAGATGAAGGATTTGGGGATTGACACTCAGAAACCTGAGATGGGAGGAACAAATAATTATGAGTCAGTCAAGGAGATCAATTTGAAAACATTTTATCTCAAAATCTAAAATCAACAATATTTGAAGATTTCTTCCCTGTCCAAGATGGAAAATGTCCGTGACACAATTCTGTTTCTGGCTTCCTTGGGATTCCGCCTTGAACAGGTTCCATTGCATACTATACACCAGAAGTGTTGGTCCCCCACCCCCACCCCCACCCCCTCTTCCCCCGCCCCTGCCAGAAAATCAAATGGACAAACAAGTACACTGGTGACAAAGCTGTTGTGGGAAAGTGGTCTATAGTAAGCCTGATAGCAATACAAGCAGAAGCTTACAGTCTACTCACAGAACACCTGCTTAGTGTAGTTTTAGTAAGAGTTTTACGGCTCTTGCCACACAAAAAGGTCATATAAATGTCGAAGATAGAGGTGGTACAGGAGAGTAACAAACACAAAAAAGGAAGAAGGAGAGATAAAAACAATAGATGTTTGAAAGGAAAGAGGGAGCAAACCACACCAGAGCATCCACCAACTACGTCCTACAGAACAGGTGCGAACGGATGCTTGGTAAATATTTGAACAAAAGTTTTCAAGTCCAATTGAAAAACACACAAAGCATAAAAAACATTTAAGGACCTGCCCCCATCCCCCCCCCCTCCCAAAACCTAAAAATTATGGAAGATATCCAGTGGAACAAACTTTTCTTAAGTCTAAAAGAATTAAAGTCGTACTCTTAAGGTTTGAGTGTTATTTCACTAGACATGAGCCTCAAAAGAAAAGCTCTACATAAACACAATTAAACACGTACACACACAAGATAAACTTAAGTAATGTATTGTAAGAATCAAAACCATCAAACTCACATTACAGTTTGGACACTGTACGTGAAATTGTTTAATGCACTGCCCGCCTGCTGTCACCCAAACTTTGTATCCTTTTAGATTGCCGTTAGGTTGTGACGGCGTTCGCCAGCTCACCACAACGCCAGTAGCAGTGACTGAAGATTGCTGGTAGCTTAAAGCATCTACAGAACCTGGAGCTGTGAACAAGACAAAGGTAAGACAGCTTAAAGCATGCTGTGAATACACTTTTGAATACATTCTTTTTGTGCTTCCTCAAGCAACCAAGATTACAGTGGAGATTGTCTAAGATGGCCACTTATTGTAGAGGGAAAAATGGTTGTCTGAGATAGGTGGATGTTTTACAGTGTGTCATTGTACTGACAAAAAACACAAAAGCACAAGGGGGTTGTGGGTGAGTGGGAAGAGAGGAGGTTTGTACAGGTGACTGTCTTATACAGGTGACCGTTTGTACAGGTGATTGTCTTATACAGGTGGCCGTTTGTACAGGTGTGTGTGTGCATAAAATTAAATACATATTTCTTGAGAAAAAAGGAAGTAGTAAGAAAGGTTTTGAAAATGGGTATTCTAATGTAAAGCGCATTAGGCTACTATTTTGGAAATACGCTATATAAATGGTATATATTCTTCTTCTTCTTCTTCTTCTTCTTCTTCTTCTTCTTCTTCTTCTTATTATTATTATTATTATTATTATTATTATTATTGTTATTATTATTATTATTGTGGTATATAATTCGTAGGTGATCACCAGACAAGCCAGAATCACGTGAAATAAGTGAACAAACTCAGTGTAGCCTAGTGAGTGTAGGAGAATAAGGGAGCACAGGGGCTATATAAACCGACGCGAAGGTTGAACCGGCCTTCCGAACCACGACTAAAAAACCTGGTTTGAGCAGGGATCGAGGCTACAGACGAACAAAGAGAGAATTTTACAACCTACAGACGACCGAGTACATTTTTTTTCTTGTTTTTATTCACAGATCCCGACCGACAAAAATGAAATTCTCCACACACATCAACTTCCTTGACCGACCAGAACTTGTTCAACATAGACCAAATACATACATCATACATCTAACAGGAAGAGGAGCAGGAAGGAAAGACGACAACCTATTGAAGCAACACATCATCACACGTTTTGGACTTCAGGACAAAGACATCATGAAGGTATACCGCAACATCGCATCCTTTAAAGCCTACATTACATTCACAGACAACGTAGAAGAAACACTCATCCATGATCAACATTTCCAAATCGATGAAGACACACAAGCACACATGGAAAAGCTCACATGAGAGAAAAAACGAATTTTTTTATCATGGATTCCTCCTTCTTTTCCGCTCGACGCTATAAAAGACATTTGCCACACCTTCCTTGACGACGAAACATCTATAAAAATTATACCACAACGAAGCAATACAAACGCCGACAAATATTTAATTCTCGCCGAGTACGACACCGACGAGGACATACCGCATTACGTGACAGTCGGACTAAGAAAAACAGAGACAGAGACCGAGACAATTACAATCTTTGTGACAATTCCGAATCGCCCAGTGGCCTGTCACTCCTGTGGAGTGCCAGGTCACTGGTCCAGCCAATGCCCACGAAGAGTACGATGGTACGCTCCACCTCCACCACCAACATCATCATCAACAACATCAGCATACAGCAACGCAGTCAGACGAACAACCACAGAGAAAACGCCGCTCTTGCCAACCCCAACACAGCCAACAACACTTGGACCGATCTCACGTAAACCCGCACCAAGACTTCCACAGTCCAAACCAAACTCACCACCACCATTTCCACCACTACCGCAAGCCCGGCAAGTATCAGCCCTGACACCAACCGCCCCACCCCTCGCCTCAACACCCGCCACCACTTCAGCACCCACCACCGCACCCCTAACAGACTCACCAACAACAGCTACCGAACAACAGACAGACTTTTTCGACCTTCCAAGCCCAGTACTAGACTGGGCCAAAGAAAGAATAGACTTTAAAAAGACACAGAAAAAATCCAAAAAGAACAGACGAACGATAACAGCAACGGAAACGACAGTGACGGATAGGAAGAGGACATCAAACGACATAGTACAACAGAACAGATTTCAACTACTCAGCGAAACTGACGACGATAGCGACGGTGCAAAGAACAGAAAAAAGAAATTAGCAAGGACAGAAGACAAAAAACGTAGAAAACATGACGACTGACAGTGACTTATTTGATTTCTTTTTAAGTCCTAAAATTAATGTTTCCATTTTTTAAATTCATATTCCTTGAACATCACAGGATGAATGAACTAAAAGTATGGACACTGAGAACGCAAGAGGAACGAATGGTAAGCTGCCCCAACTAACACACCTCATTACCTTACCATGCACAAACCAGACTTTTTATTACTACAAGAAACTAACAACCCCCACAACAGAAGCAAAGAACCACGGAAAAGATAGGTGTAAAATATGTAGACGAAACAAAAGAGAAACAGTAGAACATATATTCTACACATGCCCGCACATTAAACAGAGCAAACAAGCACTAGCAAAATTACTCAACGCAAACGCAGACACACAAGTAGACATACAAGCAATCTTTCTAAAAATACTCCCACCACAGACAACCACAACATTAGACTTCAAATCTTAACAGCATACAGTCATACAGAGAAGTCATTTGACAAGTTAGACAACAAACAACCTTTAGCGACACTACCCACACACCCAACACTATATCGGAATATTTTCAACAGAAAATTACATACACCTTTAAAACAGAAACAAAATGGGCAGTATTTGAAAGATGATTGAGCTGTGGCGAGAGTGAGCGAGTAAATGTTTGAAAGCGAGCAAAACAACGAGGACAGAGACCGAACGGACGAATTGTGTTAGACAAGACGAGACTGCTCTGTGAGCACAGAGTAACAACGACTCGAAAACCCAGGGGTCGAAAGGCGACGGGTGTAAGAGAACACAACTAAGGAATGAACGAAATTAAATGAATTATTAAATGAAATATGTACATGGAACGAACGAGAATGAATGAAAAATCATTTATGTATATGCGAGTGGAGGAGGGGGGAGGGGTACGAAAGAAAAAGCGGACGGGGATGAGCCGCAAGTGTATTTGTCGAATGACTGTGTGAGAAAGAGGGGGACACTAATGAGCCCCAGAGTGGATGACTCTTGTGGTGTTATGTTTTTGTTGTAAACCCCCCCCCCCCCCCAAAAAAAAAAAAAAAAAAAAAAAAGACCAATGAAGCCCCCCCCCCCCGGCGGCTGCCTTGTCCTTTATTTTTTGTATCTATTTTTAAAAAAATAAAAATAAATAAATAAATAAAATGGATCGACACGACAGGTGGGTCGACGCAGTGTATGGAGCTCCGGACCTGTACGACCCACACACATCGTTTCCCGCTCGAAACAGTGAGTATTGAAACCAACGTAGATTAACTAACGAGTAGAATCTAGGATTAGATAGCACTTATCATCTCATTACAAGCTATTTCGGCTTTCATTTGACGTGTGGCGTGGGGGCCAGGCGGGATCGTCATCGTTGAGACCTTAGGCTAAGCTAGGCCCAGATTTAGATCTAAAACTCTAGTTGCTGTAGTCCAGATCTAGGGGTTTTGCGGTGATGGCAAGAAGGTCAAAAATGGCGATGGGCCCGAGTATCAAGTAGGATGTGCTCAAACCGTTTGCTGGGGAGGGGACGTCGAGGCTTGGTTTCAGAAGGCGGCATTAGGTGACAAAACTGACCCACATTGAAGACGTGGCAAGTTTTATCCCATTGTACCTGGATGGGGGAACTCTAGCTGTGTATCTAGAGATGAGCGAAGAAGAGAAGGGGAGCTTAAAGCTCATCAAGACGAACTTGAAGGAAATGTTTTGCGACAACCAGTTCGTTGGTTTTGCAAAACTACGTGAGACGAGGTGGACCGGGGAACCGGTGGACGTATACGTCAATGAGTTGCGGAGGGTAGGCAGGTTTTGTGGGTTCTCAGGAGAGGGGCTGGAGCAGCTGGTGAAATTGGCTTCTGTCACCGCTTTCCAGACAGCATAGCCTTGGAACTGCAACATGTGGTAGGGGTGGAGTCTATGAGAATTGCAAACATTATTGGTAGAGCTAGGGTCCTGGCAGCAAACAAGGGAGCAGTAGTAGGTGAGGGGCTAGCAGCCGCAGCGGTAGATCAGGCAAGGGGAAACAAAAAATCGTGGGGGGGGGGGGGGGGGGGGAATGATGCAGAACAACACCAGTCAGGTGAAATGTTTCATTTGTGAGGAGGGACATTTTGCTAAAGAGTGCCCAGAGAAGTTAAGCAAGAAAAAGTCACTTGTGTGCTACAGGTGTGGTGGGGAAGGGCATGTTGCGGCGTACTGTGAACATGCTGGTAAAGGTAGTCGTGGGGGAGGAAGCTCGAGGCCAGGGAGTGACGCAGAGTGCGTCACAGGTGTAAAAGGGGTCCCAATGATTACAGTCACCGTGCAAGGTCACAGTCGACACTCACTGATAGACACAGGGTGTTCGAACACCATGATCAGGGCTGGGCTGGTCGACAGATGGACCGAAGATGCGGTGCAAACATCAGCATTTAATGGAAGAGTCGTTGAATGCAAAGGCATGGCGCAGATTCAGATGGAGGTAGATGGCGAAAAAAAAAAACAGTACGAGGGCAACTGTGATTGATAACATAGTCTGGGGCATAGATGTGCTGATTGGCACGGATGAAATCGGACAGCTAGGAGGGGTGACGGTGGGGCAACACAAGATCCAGTTTGGAAAACGGATGGCGTGTTTGTTTTTAGGGGTGCCAACAGGGGAACAAACATGTCAAGGGGAAGAACTGCTCATTCATGATAAGGATTTCGATGCAAAGTATGATGGTAAAGTAAGGACGGTCAAGTATTTCTGGAAAGGGGCAGGCTAGGGGACACCGGACTTGAAAAATAGAGTCGCACTCTATGACAGGGGCTTAGACGGGGCAAAACGGGAGAAATTTGAGCAGGAAGTTGAGCAATGGATTAAGGAGAGGATCCTCGTTCCTTGGGAAGGAGATTCAGGGGGAATTATCCCACTTTTGGCGGTGGAACAACCCACGAAGAACAAGGTCAGTCAGTGTTAAACTTTCGGAAACTCAACGAACTGGTGGAATGCCAAACGGGGGACGAGCTAATCGATGTCTGCGCGGACACTCTTCGTGAGTGGAGAAGGATTAGTGGAGAGACTCAAATCGTGGATTTGAAGAGCAGCCTACCAACAAATTCGGGTGAGCCCAGAGCTTTGGAGATTTCAACTAGCGCGATTCAAGGGCCGAACCTACTGTTTGACGAGGTTGAGATTTGGGTTGAACTCTGCACCTAGCATCATGACAAAGGTGCTGAAGGCAGTACTTAGCCAGTCCGAGGAGATCCAAAAGGCCACAAGCTCGTATATCAACGATATACTGGTGGACGTGTCCAGGGTGAACGCCGAGGATGTGATTTCACACCTGAGGTCATATGGGCTGGAAGCTAAACCCGCAGTACAGTTGGAGGGTGGGTCGGCACTCGGGTTGAAGTTGACGAGGGACGAGAACGGGTCACTGGTTTTCGGGCGGAACGCAGAGGTACCGAAGGTGGGCAGAAAGCTGAGTAAACGGGAACTGTTCTCAATTTGTGTTAAGGTGGTGGGGTACTACCCAGTAGCCGGATGGGTACGCCTGGCTTGCAGCTTTGTGAAGCGTCAGGTTAAAGGAACCGGTTAGGACGACTATGTTGGGGACAAGGGGCAGTCAGTGATGGAGGACATTGTGAAGCAAGTGGCACAGCACGACCCAGTTGGAGGAAAGTGGAAAGTGGACCGATCCAAAGAGGGTGTCATATGGTGCAATGCAAATGAAATCGCCATGGGAGTGATAGTAGAAATTGGCGACGTGTAGGTTGAGGATGGGGCTTGGATGCGCAAAAGTGGGGATTTTCATCACATTAACGTGGCCGAGCTAGAGGCAGTGCTAAAGGGGATCAATTTGGGGGTAAAGTGGGGGCTGCAGAGGATGGTGGTTCTGACAGACTTGGCAACCGTATGCAGGTGGATCAAGATGACGCTGTCGGAGGAAAGGAGGATCCGGACGAGCGGTGCAGTAGAGATCTTGATCAAACGGACGTTGACGACGCTGAAGGCCTTGGTTTAGGAGCTAGGACTTGAAGTGGACGTTAGGCTTGTGGCGTCGAGGGACAACAAGGCCGATAAATTGACTAGAGTCCCCAGGTCATGGATAAGGACTGGCAACAAGTGCAACGGTTCGGTTGCGTGTGTCTCAGCGTCTGTAGTGAAGCAACTGCACGATAAGCACCACTTGGGCGTTGAGAGGTCATGTTACCTGGCAAAGAAGGTGGATCCGCAGATCACCAAGGAGCAGGTGAAGCGGGTGGTGCAGAACTGCGAGAGATGTAGTAGGATAGACCCGGCTCCTGGAGTCCACGATGTTGGAGAATTGGGGGTTTGTGGGATCTGGGAGCAGCTGGCAATTGACATTACGCACTACCGTGGTGTCCCATTCCTGACCATGGTGGATTGTGGACCTGGTCGATTTGTAATCTGGCGACGGTTGAGAGGTGAAACTGCTAAACACATCATTGACTAGTTGTGGCAAGTGTTCCACGAGAGGGGGCCGGTAGGGGAGGTTCTGCTCGATAATGCCACGGCATGTAGGTCACAGCAATTCGTGGGGTTCCTACGGGACTGGAACGTGAACACCATGTTCAGGGCAGCGTATAGGCCTAGCGGAAACGGGATAGTCGAACTAAATCATCGCATTATCAAGGCTATGGCAGAGAGGGGGAACATCTCATCATTGGAAGCAGTGTATTACTACAAGTGCTCTCCCAGGCGTGAGCAGTACGAAGACTCGATTCCGCACAAGTCGGTTAGGACATATGAGTGGAGGCAGCCTGATGAGGCACCCGTAGAACTAGAGTGTGGAAACTCTGTCCCAAAGGCCTCGTTTAGTGTTGGCGAGGAAGTCTGGGTCAAGCCGGGTAATGCAAAATGCACATCGGAGTGGGGCTGCGGGGTTGTCACGAAGGTGAACTCCGCGAACAACGTAGAGGTTGATGATATGCCGCTGCATGTCTTAGACCTTAGACCTATCAGGGGTGAGGGGGGAACCGCAGAAACAGAAGATGGCACTTCAAACGAAGGTGAACAGGGTTGTGAACCAGAAGAGCGCCGAGAGATTGACGGGCGTTTCCCGCAACGGGAAAGTAGGGCCCCGTTGTGGCAGGACGATTATGTCCTGGGATAACCGTAACGCGGAGGGGGGAATGGGGGGGGGGATGGAGAGAGATTTGTTAGGGACGGGACGTCAGGACTTTCTTGAATATCCTCCCCATGTTTTGTGTTTAGTATTGTCATGATGGGTTAAACTGGGGTGACTCGTGTATTCTCTTTATGTGGGGTGTTGGTTTTCATCGTATTGATCAATGAGATCAAGGGGGCGTGTGGTCTTTAATTCGCTGTGATCACCAGACAAGCCAGAATCACGTGAAATAAGTGAACAAACTCAGTGTAGCCCAGTGAGTGTAGGAGAACAAGGGAGCACAGGGGGTATATAAACAGACGCGAAGGTTGAACCGGCCTTCCGAGCCACGACTTAAATCTAGGCTGAGCAGGGATCGACGTTACTGGTGGGTCGACGCAGTGGATGGAGCTCCGGACCTGTACGACCCACACTCACCGTTCCCCACTCGAAACAGTGAGTATTGAAACCAACGTAAATAGACTAACGAGTAGAATCTAGGATTATATAGCACTTATCATCTCATTACAATAATTATTATTATAGAGGTGGCCGTTTGTACAAGTGACTGTCTTATACGCATGGCACTTTGCACAGGTGATTGTCTTATACAGGTGGCCGTTTGTACAGGTGATTGTCTTATACAGGTGACCGTTAGTACAGGTGGTTGTCTTATACAGGTGGTCGTTTGTACACGGTCCACTGTATTATCTCAGCATTTCATTTTGTACAGAGAAAAGTAAAACAAAAAACATGGGGGGGGGGTGGGAGTGGTATGGTCAAGTGCATTTACACAAGATGAAAGTGAAAGAAGAAAATAGAAGTCTTTCTGTAAAAGGATAAAATGCATTTAACAATTCTATCAGAAATTTGATTTACTGAATGAAATAAAAAATTTAAACATTCTTTTGGAACAAACTCAACTCATTCAATCTTCTATCTGCATGTGGCTCTGAGAAAAACCCATCACATGGTGCGTGGGGATAACTTTTAAAACTGAATTTTTCATTTGGATTATTTTTTTCTTGAGCATTTTGCTCTTTAATTGGGTGTAATTGAAGCTTTCCGCAAAATTTATAGTAGTTCCAAACACACAACAGTACAAAGGGTTTTACCTGAAAGTCAATACACTTCCCTTTCTTTTAGAATTCTTCCTCAGGAGGTGTCTATGACAGTAAGTGTCCACCCAAGGAGTAAACATCAGACGAGATTGTTTCAGAAACTAGAACATATTGGCCTGCTTTGTGTCTCAACAAAGTGCACAACATAAAAACAACACACATAAACAACATGACATACCTGCACCGTCTGTTGTAAAAGATCCTGTCCTTGAGTCACCAGGTTTACTGTCGCCATTGTAGGCTGTAATCGTATAGGTATAAAAAGTATTTGCGACCAGATTCTCAAAGACCACTGTATGGTTAGTCACTCGTTTGCTTTGAGGTGCAGACCCTTGCCGTGTCACTGTCACCCAATAATTAGCGACACAGCCATCCGAAGGTCCAAACTTGAGGACAGTACGCGGCACTGAGAGGGTACTACTTCCAAGTATCACTGCTCCAGGCTGGGCAGGCTCTGAAAACAGACATGTCCCGAGGTATTAAGACAACACAACTTCCATTCACACATCACGAGGTATTAAGACAACACAACTTCCATTTACAGGTACCACAGAACAAAAAGTTACCTGTGTCACACACAACATACTGCAGCAACAGCATTGTGAATATTTCTGACTTTTGTTCAAAACACGATAGACTGGGATATCATCAAGAGGTGTTAAGACAACTTTTCTCAGTCTCCATTTTCCCCAACTATATCCTCACCAATATCTTCCCCATGAGTGTTGCGTTTACCAGAGATCACTGAGACTTGACGTGTTTTTTTGACACAGGGGAATACTAGTGCTTGGTGCCCACATAAACATATATCTTTCCCAACTACCACAGCCCAGATGTCCACATGTATACATAAAGTACTGTCCCAACTATGGCAGCCCAGATGTCCACATGTATACATGAAGTACTGTCCCAACTACCACATGTATACCTAAAGTACTGTCCCAACTACCACAGCCCAGATGTCCACATGTATACATGAAGTACTGTCCCAACTACCACATGTATACTTAAAGTACTGTCCCAACTACCACAGCCCAGATGTCCACATGTATACATGAAGTACTGTCCCAACTACCA